TAGGGGAGGGGTCACCAGCTGCTGACTCTCACCCATCCCTCATTCTATGTTTGGTCCAACAGCAACACCTGAAGCCCACACATCCTCAATCCACTTCCCAAGTGCCCCAAACTTCACCTCTCCTGGCGCAGCTGAGCAAGGACCAGTTTTCGAGCCATCAGACCTGGAGGAAGGCAGACAGCAGCAGCATTCGGAGAGGAAAGGGAGGTGGGGAGGAAGGGGAAAAGGGTAGGAGGATGGACACGGGCAACAGAGAGCTGGTGGGGCGGGGCGGGGCGGGGCAGATCTGGTCTGGCAGCTGCCTACCCACCCTGAATAGTGTGGACCTTGCGGACGGCGTAGCTGACTCGGCTACTGAGGCTGGGCAGCCGGGCTGCAGCCTGCTCCACCTCGGCCATGGGGTTCTGGATCCAGGTCTGAAAGCTGGACAAGATACAAGGCCGCTCACCCTCCACCCCACCTCACCCCCAGGACTTGACCTGCTGTAGAACACCTCCCTCCAGCCTGTTCGGCGGCGGACCTGCGGGCAGCAGGGAAGGAAACCGAAGCTGGGAAAAGAAAAGCTGAAGCCAAGTTGTGCCGGCTCCTTGGCTGATAAAACAGGAAAACCTGGGGCCTGAGCCCTGGAGTGACTGCCACATCCCAGGGCCCAGCTGCTCATGAGAAAAGCACGCTGCTCCTGGCCCCCAGCTTCTCCTCTGGGCCCAGCAGTAAAGCCGCCACGAGGTTCCCGGGCACACCTCCTCTGGGCCCAGATGCCTCTGCCGTCAGGGGCCAGCAGACACGGCTCTGCGGGGCCAAGGCGAGTGCCACAGGCTGGCTCACCTCTAGCGGATTTAGACTTCCACCCCAGGCCCCGGGTGCCTCTGCAGGTCGGGGCCTCCCCCGGCACGTGTGCCACACTCAGGGGGTGTGCACTTAGGTGCCTCTTCCTAAGGAACAGAGCCATGGCCTCCGTTGGTTTTCTAAGGGACCCATTCCCAAGAAGCATTAAGTGACATCCTTCCCAGGGTCCCGGGACGGGGGGGGGGGGGGGGGGACGGAGCCGGGTGGCATGGCAGCATCCAGGGGCAGGGCTGGAACTCGGGGGCAGTCAAGTCTCCGCCAACAGAAAAACAGGCAGACACAAAGGCTGCCTGTTGTATCCCTCGGCACAGCAGAGACCACTTTTACCTGAAACTGCTCTGGTGATTCCAACCCCTTCCGTGGCTCTTATTAAAGCCATTTTCTGGTAAGGTCTCCAAGCCGTCTAAAAACTAGCTAACACATCTGGCCACAGGCCAAGCGTGGGCTGTGGACTTTTTGGCCATTAGCCAATAGCAAGGCCCATTTCAGTATGTCCTCGTACCAAAGGAAAACCCTGCCCGCAGCGAGTCTTTCTGCTCTCCTGCAGGTGGGAGCACATGCGATGGACTGAACTCAGGTGGTGGTTTATCGGAACTACCCGCTCTACTTCCATGTATGTATGAAATCTTCCCTCATTTTTTAAAGTTCAATTAGTCCACAAGGTACAAATTCAACAGAAGGGGATGGTGGGCAAAGTCCATCCTGCAACACAATTTTGAGCTAGGGTAGCAGTAAACATTTACAGAGCCCAGGCAACAAACCAGCAGGCCCACACAGGCCCGGCCAGTGTGGCTCTGTGGTTGAGTGTCGACCTATGAACCAAGAGGTCACGGTTCAATTCCCGATCAGGGCACATGCCTGGGTTGTGGGCTCTATCCCCGGTAGGGGGCGTGCAGGAGGCAGCCAATCAATGATCCTCTCTCATCACTGATGTTTCTATCTCTCTCTCCCTCTCCCTTCCTCTCTGAAATCAATAAAAAAAAATGTATTGGAAAAAACAAAGAGCTCCATGCAGACCAGGTACCCCAATGTCCAAGGCGAGGAGGGTGCTTCCCAGCACCAGAAGCTTCATTTCTCCTTTAGGCCCTTCTGAAGGCCATATAAGAAATCAGGAAGGAAATGCACAGGGACTTGCAATTGGTTAAGAAGGAGCTGTCATGCACTTTAAATGGACTGCCTATATGCCGATGAAGTGTAAAGCTTTGGACAATTGTTTCCAAGTAATCAGGGCATGCCTGTAAAATGTTAAAGAGGAAGTAAAGAGCAAGTCCCCACACTCCCCATCCAAGAACAGCTGTGAAGGCGGGATCCTTCCAGTGCTCCACTAGCTCAAGCTGTTACTGGACCAAATGCAGGAGGAAGCTTCTTCACCTCGAGTCACACAGGCAATGGCAGTCAGAGTGACCCTGGTGTGAATGCAGAGGCGCTGCCCCAGAAAATGAACACAGGAGCTTTAACATGGCTAAGTTCTCCAGCCCTGCACGACCACCACCTGCAGTAAAGTCCCTCGAACCCTGCACCCCAGCAGCTAAGTCCCTAAGCCCACATCCTCCAGAGGCTAAGTCCCTCAGCCCACATCCTCCAGAGGCTAAGTCCCTCCAGCCCACATCCTCCAGAGGCTAAGTACCTCCATCTTCCAGCAGCTAAGTCCTTCTAGCCCACATCCTCCAGAGGCTAAGTACCTCCAGCCCACATCCTCCAGAGGCTAAGTCCCTCCAGCCCACATCCTCCAGAGGCTAAGTCCCTCCAGCCCACATCCTCCAGAGGCTAAGTACCTCCAGCCCACATCCTCCAGAGGCTAAGTCCCTCTAACCCACATCCTCCAGAGGCTAAGTACCTCCAGCCCACATCCTCCAGAGGCTAAGTCCCTCCAGCCCACATCCTCCAGAGGCTAAGTACCTCCAGCCCACATCCTCCAGAGGCTAAGTCCCTCTAACCCACATCCTCCAGAGGCTAAGTACCTCCAGCCCACATCCTCCAGAGGCTAAGTCCCTCCAGCCCACATCCTCCAGAGGCTAAGTCCCTCCAGCCCACATCCTCCAGAGGCTAAGTACCTCCATCTTCCAGCAGCTAAGTCCTTCCAGCCCACAACCTCCAGAGGCTAAGTCCCTCCAGCCCACACCCCCCAGTAGCTAAGTCCCTCCAGTCTGCACCTTCCAGTGGCCATCTTTCTAGCTGTGCTTGCCTAAGGCTCTTAAACTCCAAGGTGTCTCAGAAGCTGGGGAAGCAGAAATCCTACCCCACCCACAGCACCCCCACCTCTATCCAGACACCTGTTGATAGCTTTGGCCACACGCTTCAGCTGCTCCTCAGCCGAGGCCGTCTGCTGCTGCCCCCGGCGACAGGCTTCCTGGGCACGGCTCAGCTCCATCTGCAGGGACTGTGAGGGAGACAGTAAAGGAAAGGGTCCTTTCTCTGGGGCCTTGGCCCACTGACCGGGGCTCCCAGGCCTCCCTTAGCCCCTGACTGTGGCCGATTCTGACCTTGGCGCCCATCCGCTCTACCTCCACCTGCGCAGCTTTGTCCTCCAGGGAGCGCTGCAGGATGGCTTGCTCCTGGCTCTGGGCAGCCACTCTTTCCTGGAACTCTGCCACCTGGGGGAGAAGAGGCAGGCGGGCACTGGGGATCGAAGGGGCAGTACAAAGGTCTCAGAATGAACTCCACCCGGGGAGACAAGAAGCTTGGCCTCCTGAGTCCAGGTCTCCAGCAAAGCCTGTGCCCTGCGCCAGGAGGAGGGCCGTTCCTCACATCCCACCTAAGGCTGCCCCTGGTCTGTCGTGTGGTGGGTCACCCCACTCTTCACAGCACACATGATTTCTTGACGTTACCTAACTGTCTGCTTGCCTGTTGTATCTGCTCCAGGACCTAAGCTCTGTCTTTGTTTAGGGCTGCTCCCAGCTCATGGCAGCCACTCGGTAACGCTGGTTAACTAAATGCCACCCCTTATGTAAAGAAAACAGGGGTAACCATGGGGAGGAAGAACGCCAAGTGACCTGTCCCTTCAGCTGCTGCACGCACGCTCCGTGCTCCAGTTCCTGGGCCTTTAGCTGCACCATGAGGGCAAACACCTTCTCCCGCCAGTGCTTCAGCAGGGCCTGGCTCTTCCTGGAGAACTCGGGCTCCAGGGAATCTGACGGTTGCACCTGTGGGCGGGGGAAGCGGTCGTGTGGCTCCTGGGGAGCAGAGGAGGAAGCTGCATCTTGGTTTCTCTCTGGGCTGCCCAGGTGACAGGAGCCACAGAGAGCAGAGGTGTGTGTGCAGGGAGGGGAGCTCTCAGCCGGGCCCGCCCACAGGGAGGCAGGGTCCTACCTTCCTGGCCAGCTCCTCTTCCTGCATGGACAGGATGTACGTGAGGCTCTGTACGCGCACCTGCAGCAGCTCCGCCGTTGTGTGCAGGCCATCCCGGTCCTCCTGCAAGTGCTGCCAGGGAGCAGGGCGGAGAGCACCGGTCCGCACCCTTCCCTCCTGGGGCAGGTCCTCCCAGGTCCTGGGCCACCCACCTGCACAGATGTGCCCAGCACCCTCACCTGCACGGTCTCTAGAAGTTTCAGTCGCTCTGACTCCCATGCCTGGTCGTGAATCTCGGGGGGAACTTGTTCCCCCACATATCTCCTTAGCTTCTCAACCAAGGTCACCTGAGCCTCCAAGTCTTGTTGGGTCTTGCTAGGATGAGTGTGGGAATAGGACAGCCATCAGGGGGCACCCTGGAGACTCACCCCACCCACCACCTGCTGGGCCCCCCTTGGCCACCCACCAACTTACCTCAGCTGCTCCCGCAGCAGCTCAGCCTCCCTCTGGGCCATGGCCAGCTCCTTGGCTTCCCCGGCCCTGCTGGTTTCCAGACCGGTCAGAGACTTCTCCAAGCCCTCGGCTTTGCTGGTCAAACTGGAAAGAGCCTCCTGGTGAGCCCGTGTCAAGGAGGACAGCTGCAGAGAGAAGGGTCTCAGCAGGGGCTGGCTCACCCCCACACCCGGGCTTTCCAAATCTTCCCCTGGCTCTGGCCTTGTCTCCCAGTTCCTGTGACCTTAGACAACAGCCCAGCACATCGCCCACGGGGCCTCAGAGGCCTGGCAAATGGGGCTGACCCTAGAGCCTTTAAGTCCCCATCACACTCCAACTCATCAGCAGTTCCTGTCTGGTCTTCCCCCAAATCATATCTTCGCTTCTCTCCACCTCCAGCCACCAGCCTGAGGTAGGCCATCCTCACCTCTGGTCTAGACGACAGCAACCATCCCCTGACCAGTCTTGAGGAACCTCCAGCAGCTGGCATTCTGAGCAAAACCCAGCTCCTTCCCTCGGCTGCAACCCCCCGTGCCTGGGCCCCTGCCCACTGCTCTGAGCCCACTTCCTACGGCTCTTCTCAGATTCCACGTCACCTCCGCTACCTCCCCGGGAGGCCTCCCAGGGCCCTCCAATCCCCACCCACCACCACTCTGTCCTGCTGCCTGGCCCTGGCCTCCAGCACTGGCTGTCATCTGAGAGGACCTTGCAGTCCCACAGCCCATACAAAGGAAGCTCTAGGAAGGCAGGCGGCTCGCCCTTCCCTCACTGCACCTCTCAGTGGTGTCAGGGACACTGAGGGAGTCGTGGGACCGACAAGGAAGTGGGAACACGGCTGTCCTCATCTCCAGTTGGTCTCCCTTCGCCCAATTTCCACGCCACACTTAGAGTGAACTTTTTGGACATAAATCACAAATATGATCATGTCATTTCCCTGTTTTAAACCTTTCACTGGTTGCTCATTGTTCTTTTTTGAAAAAATATTTTTTATTGATTTCAGAGAGGAGAGAAATATCAATGATGAGAGAGACATCGATTGGCTGCCTCCTGCACACCCCCTACTGGGGGCTGAGCTCAAAATCCAGGCATATGCCCTGACCCAGGTTCATGGGTCGACGCTCAACCACTGAGCCATGCCACTAAGCCGGCCGCTCATTGTTCTTAAGATAAAGTTCTGGATGGGCCTGAGGCCTCACAGTCCCAGGACCACCCAGGGCCCCTCAGCTCCTGCCCTCAAACCCCTCTGGCCACCTCCTGTCCCACGTGCTGCCCCACGTCACAGCAGCTCCCATCTCCACTGCCCATGCCTGACAAGCCAACTTCTACTCAGAACAAAAGTCACCTCTTGCCCTGGCCGGTTTGGCTCAGTGGATAGAGCGTCAGCCTGCAGACTGAAAGGTCCCAGGTTCGAATCTGGTCAAGGGCACATGCCTGGGTTTCGGGCTCAATCCCCAGTAGGGGGCGTGCAGGAGGCAGCCAATCAATGATTCTCTCTCATCACTGATGTTTCTATCTCTCTCTCCCTCTCCCTTCCTCTCTGAAATCAATAAAAATGTTTTTTTAAAAGTCACCTCTTATCATTATGCATCTTTCATGAATCTAAAGGCATTTATATTTTTCTTTGCACTATCTCTGGCTGGATTACTGTTTTCCTTGTATCAATTTCTACACACACATTATATAGTAGAGATATTTGCTTCTTTCTGTGATATGAGCTGTAAATATTGTTCCTAATTTACCAGTTGTCCTTTTTTTAATTTTTTTATTGATTTCAGAGAGGAAGGGAGAGGGGAAAAAGAGAAAGAAACATCAATGATGAGAATCATTAACTAGCTGCCTCCTGCACACCCTCCTGGTCGAGCTTGCAACCCCGGGCATGTGCCCTTGACTGGAAGCAAACCCAGGACCCCTCAGTCTACAGGCCGACGCTCTACCCACTGAGCCAAGCCAGCTAGGGCTACCAGTTGTCCTTTAATTTTACTTTTATTGCCATTCCTAAGTTTACCAGTAGTGTTATATAGTCAACATTCCAATCCTTTCTTTAGTGGCTCAGGATCTTGATTCACATGTAAAGACCTTCCCCACTCAAGGTTACCAGGAATTCACCCAGATTTTCTTCCGGTATCATTATGGTTTCATTTCTTAACATGCTGACTTATTAAAATGACCTTTCTCACTCCCCTACCAGCTTAAGGCTCCCTTGTCCTTCTTCATGGCACTTCTCCCAATGGCAGGCAACTACTTAGGATTAAATCAAGTGTTGAATGTGGGTCCCCCTTTAGGCCGCCAGCTGCACCCAGGCGGGCAGGGACTCGCTGGTGTGTTCACCAGAGGCCCAGCTCCTGTCTCAGGGATGGAAGAGTAAGCACTGATAAATGCCTACCAACTGAACAGTCTCCTTCCCAGTTCACCTCGGGACCTGTCCCGCCGGAGCCCCCAGATTAACGGGGTGCCCAGAGTGAGGTAGGAAGACAAACTACTTCCTACTGGAGGGGAAGGAGGGCTTCAGGTGGTGGGTGGGCAGCTGAGTCCTGGGAACAAGAGCCATCTGAATAATGCCAAAACACCAAGGCCCCCCTCTCTCCAGGGCATGCTTTTCACCCCGCCACTGCTCGTGGGCGTCTTTTCCCGTATCTGCTTTCTGCAGGGAAGCCCCTGGCCAGATCCCCACTGTGAAGGTGAAGCCTTCCCACCCCCACATTCACCTGCTCCTGGTGCAGCCTCTGAACCTCCTCCAGCTCCCGCTGGCTCCCCTCTTCCAGGTTCTTCCGGACAACCTCAGCCCCAGCCAGGGCGGCACGCAGGCCCTCGGCCTCAGCTCGGCCAGCCTTCTCTGCCCGTGCCAGAGCCTCCAGCTCCATGGCCTGGGTCTCCAGCTTCATCTTTTGCTCTAGCGAGTTTTCCTGCAGGACCCGGACCTCCTCCTCAAGCCGTCGCACCTCCTGCAGCTGCCGAGAGATCAGCTCTGCCTGCTGGCGCAAGGCCTGCGATCCCTGCAGCTCCACAGACCTTGAAAGACAGGGTAGCACAGGTGAGACCTGTCTCTGGGGCTGCGAAGGTGGCCCCAGGAGAAGAGCTCCCTCTGCTCACATGTGGGAATGAACCTGGACCTGAGGGATCTCTGCATTTCCATCACCATCACCATTCATCAAGGCCCTACTAAGCATATCAGGTCTAGTCTCTGGGCTCATGGCCCTCTAGAGCAGTGATTATCAACTGTGTGCCACAAGAATTTTTCAAACATGCAATACCTAACTATTTAGTCAGGGGCACTGACCTCTTTCCCTTAGATTGTCAAGTAAAAAAAATGACACCAGCTAACAAAAATAGCTGTGGGATGTGAATACTCGGTCTTGGACCATAAATATATAGGTCATATAGAGTTGTATCTTATTGGTCACGTTGAATAAGGTTGCATCTCATTGGTTCATTCTTGGTATCAGAAATCCTTATATAAATTACAAGTATAGGCACCTAACTTTTTATTTACTTAATTTTTAAAAAATATTTTTTCATTGATTTCAGAGAGGGAGGAGATAGAACAGCAATAGTGAGAGAGAATCATTGATTGGCTGCCTCCTGCATGCCCCTCACTGGGGATAAAGCCTGCAACCCAGGCATGTGCCCTGACTGGGAATCGAACCAGGACCTCCTGGTTCATAAGTCAACGCTCAATCACTGAGCCATGCAAGTTGGGCAGCACCTGATTTTTTAAAAAGTTACTTTGAAGCAGAAAGGGTAGGTAATTATTATTATTATTTTGTAAATCAATCAAAAGTATACCTATTTTTTGGTCAGAAAGGCAAAAAATAACATTTTTTGGTGTGTCACAAAATTTTAGTAATGTGCCATGAGATGAAAAAGGTTGAAAATCGCTGCTCTAGAGAGAGCTATATACAGGCTGATGTCTTATCAGCAACTGTGCGTATCACTGGGCCACACATTCTGAAGAGGTTGGAAGTGCAGGGAGGAACTTCTGAATTCTGATTTAAGGGCTCCCAGTATCAGTACGGCCAGGTGCTGGCTGGGAGCGTCTACAGCAGTGGTTCTCAACCTTCCTAATGCCGTGACCCTTTAATACAGTTCCTCATGTTGTGGTGACCCGCAACCATAAAATTATTTTCGTTGCTACTTCATAACTGTAATGTTGCTACTGTTATGAATCAATGTAAATATCTGATATGCAGGATGTATTTTCATTGTTACAAATTGAACATAATTAAAGCATAGTGATTAATCACAAAAACAATATGTAATTATGTATGTGTTTTCCGATGGTCTTAGGCGACCCCTGTGAAAGGGTCGTTCGACCCCCAAAGGGGTCGCGACCCACAGGTTGAGAACCGCTGGTCTAGAGTCAGGTACGCTGAGTGAGGGGTTCGGGAGGACAGCACGTCAATAAACTATGCAGTCCCAGCCTTTAGCGAAGTCCCCTGGCGCACATGCAGCTTAAAGCAGCGGTCGCCAACCTTTCGGACCTCACGGGCCACCAGTGGTCTGCAACCGCTGCTGAAAGCACCTGTGACCCGGCTCTTGGCACAGCTCCTTCACTGAGGCCCGGACTGCAGGGCTTAAGCAGGGAACGACAGCCTACAGAAACGAAGTGAACGGCCACAGGACCGGAGCCGGTACCAAGCTAGGAACAGAGAGCCCGTGTCCTGGCAGCAGCTCTGGGGCTCCCTGTCATCATCATGCTCCTTGCCCGCTGGTGGGGCCCAGGGAGACCCACCGCAATCCCACTCTAGAGCACAATGCACAACGGCTGCCAGTTTATCAGGGAAAGACACGCAGGAACCATCGATGAGAAGCTCTACAGACAGCACGTCAACAAGTAGCACGGTCCGCTCGGACGGCACCATCCGCCAGAATGAGTCCATACTAGCACAGGACACGGTATCTTGCCTGATTATGATCAGCTGTTGGTCGATGTCTCTTCCCTTGGAATTTTAAGGAAATCCTTGATATCAGGATTTCTCCTATTTGTTTGTTATCCCACCCCCAGCATCTAGCATGCTCTTCGTACTATTTATGCACTGTAGGCACCAATACTTGCTATGGATAAATGAACAAATGATGGGACTAAGGGCTGAACTAGGGTAAGGACCTATTTCAGTGAAGGGCCACGGGCAGGCAAGCCTGAGAGCGCGACAGCGGCCCCTACCTGTCCCTCCACCCCGGCTCCTGCCCATCGCCAGAAATGTCCTGCTCCCACACGTTCCCCGGAGGCCTCTGGAAGTCTGGCCACCTCTCTGAGACACCTCGATGGGCCAGGGGGATGTCTGAGACCCAGGAGGGAGCCATTCGCGGCATGGCTGGAAGGGGCCGCGCTTGGAAGTGGGACGGGGGGATGAGCCCCGTGGAACCTGAGGAATCACAAGGACAAAGATGGTCAGTTTCCCGGGAGAGAGACAGCAGCAGTCCCCTGCCGGGTCCCACTGACCTGAAGGTCGAAACATCTCCACATTATTTGGAGCCTCTAGATCCTGTGTCCAGCCATCTACGTTCCCCTGGACAAGAGGAGAAACACGGGCACTGCAAGTCAACGCTCAGGCCTCCCCCAGAGAGAAAGCCCCTCAGACAAAGTCTCGGGCCTCAGACCAGAGCCAGGCCGGCCGAGCTCCTCTTCCTACTCCCAGGAAGAAGAGGAAGGAGATGCCCACAGAGCCTGCTGGACCCAGCCTGGCCCTGGCACAACCATGGCCACAGCCAGGGCGGGGGACGCTACTGAGAGGCTGGCAGGGTCCGGGCGCGCCTTTACCCTCCTCCTCAAGTTCCTACGGACTCGGCCATTCCTGGTCGCGGGTGAGGAAGGTGTGCGGTGCAGGGGCTGCGAGCCCAGGCTCCAGAGTCCCCGCCAAGGCTCGGCGAGGCCTGGGGGAAGCCCATCCACACACCACGCCAGGACCCCCGGGTCCCTCCCGACCAAAGCGCTGGCCCACGGCCTGGCCCCGGAGGGATGTGGCCGCATGCCGGGCAGCGCGGCTCCCCAGGACCCCGGGGGGTCCAGGCAGCCTAGGTCCCCGGGCGGAAAGGCCAGCTCCCCGACATCTCTCCCAAACGCTCCCTGCAGCCTCCCGTTCCTGCCCACGATCCCGTCCGCTGCCAACCCGCCGCCCCTGCTCCCTGCAGAGGCTCAAGGCCTCCCACCCTCCCACCCAAATCCACCTACTTCCCCCCAATCCGGGAGCCCTGTCGCCCGCCCGCCCTGCACTCTCATCTGCTTTCCTCCTGAAGGCATGGCCCGGCTCCCTCACCTCAGCCCGCTCCCGCCTCCCGCCCTCCGCGGGCCCTCCCCTCCCGGGACACCGGGCCTTCGCCCCGCTGGACCCTGAGCGCTAAGGCTGTTCTGCACCTCGTCCGTTCCTTCCCCGGCCCGTGCCCTCTTCCCCGACCACCCCCGGAACCCACCCCCGAACCCCCGCTCGGCCCTTCCCTCCCCCAACCGACGCTCCCGAGGCCCTCACTCGGCGCGAGAGCCTGCACCTGGCTCCCTGCCGGCCGGCGGCCTGACCGCGCCTGCGCAGAGCGGGCCCGGTGGCGGGTCCGAGGTGCACGCAGGCGCAGTAGTGTCTAAAGCCGGGCCGGAAGCCGGCGCTGCTGTCTCCGCGCCCTGGCGGCTCCTCCCAACTCCGGGAACCCGGGAAAACTTGTCAACCAATCAGAAAAGGCGGAAGCGGGACCTGAGGGACCCGTCCGACCCTGACCAATGGAGCGGAGGAGACCCCGGAAGCTGGCCAATCAGGAACGGCACGGGGCGGGCTTGCGGGCGCCAAGTTCGGACCCGGGAATTCCGAAGGCGGGGTCTGCGCTGCCCGCGCGCAGAGGCCGCGCCCCCCCGGGCCCCGCGCCCTCGCTGTCAAACAGCTGCGGAGCGCCCGCGGGGCTGGAGCCGGAGGGTCCCGGACGCCGCGCCGGCCGGCACTGCCTGCAGAGACCGTTCCGAGACTGCACCACGCGGTAGATCCGGCACCGGGCTGGGGTGGGCAGAAGGCTGGGTTTGCCTCGCATCGTCTCGGGGAGCTGTTTCTGTTCCCCCACCCCACCTCCCGGAGAAGCCGGCAGATGGGGTTTAGGTCCAGTGTCTTGGAGAACGTAGGGACCCCTTCTCTCTGCCTTTTTGGGGGTGACAGTGGAGTCACTTCCCACTGGGTTTAAACCTAGCTAGTTATGAGTGCGGGGTTGGCCAGGAGAGCGAGGCGCGGACGAGCAGGAGGGCTGGCTGCTCCCTTTGGATAAGCGGGTCTGACAGGACAAAGCTGTTTTCTCCAATGTCATCCCGGTGACAGGTTAGCATTGCAGAATTAGGAGCGCGCCAGTTTGCAGTTCCCCGGAAGCTGCCTAACGGTATGTTGCCTCGAACAGATTGAAGGCGCCCGGGAAATTCTGCGGCCTGAGGATCCGGTTCATCCAAGGTGCCATAGGACGTGCTCGTTGTGCACTGCCCCGAATTTTTCCGCTTTGGAGCTGCTTGACAGCCATTTTGCATCGCGTGCCTAGGATCCTTGCATTCTGAATTTGCTCAGGGACTGTGCTCAAAGTTGAAATTGCACAAAGCACAACTCGAGCTTGCACCAGACAGAACGTGAGCCTGGACCCCGTGCATGGCCCAGGAGGGGGAGCGGTGATGGATCCCTGACGTGGAAGAGCTGGTGTGCAGTGGCACTGCCTATGCTGCCCTGCTTCCAGCTACTGCGCATTGGGGGCGGCAGGGGCGGCGACCTCTACACTTTCCACCCCCCAAGCGGAACTGGCTGCACCTATCGTTTGGGCCGCAGGGCCGACCTGTGTGATGTGGCCCTGCGGCCCCAACAGGAGCCCGGCTTCATCTCCGGAGTCCATGCAGAGTTGCACGCTGAGCGCCAGGGTGATGACTGGAGGGTCAGCCTGGAGGACCACAGCAGCCAAGGTGAGCAGTCAGCAGTTCGGGGATGGAATGATTAAGGGATTCCACAGGAACCCTGCCTGCCTGCCTCCCTGTCAGGTTGGATGGATGGGTGGACAAGGCAGTCCGGACCTGCCTTTCCACCAGAAGCATGCCGTGTTGACTCTTGTTGGTCTCCATTAAGCTCAAACAGGGGCTAGGAGGTGGTTCCAGAGCCTGGGGCAGCATCGGGGAAATATCCATGGGGGTGTTCTGTGGCCATTGGGGGGCCTGAGCTCGGATGACTCCGTTTCCGGACTTGCTGAGACACTTGTTCCTGTCTTGGGGCAGTTAGGATCTGTCTCACTGTTTTCATGATATGGGCATGTGTCTTACTCCCTGCCGTGGAGGTGGTCACAGCCAGCCTCAGGCCTCACTTCACGTCTCTGGGTCTCAGTTTTCCTCTTGGGTGAAATGGAAGGACTCCGTTTGAGGAGCGTGTGGGGGTAACTATGGTAGCACCTTCATTTAGTGCTTACTATCAAGCCAGGCACTATTTTAAATTCATGGAATGTAGGTGGGCATTAACATCCCCATTTTACAGACAAGGAAAATGAGGCACAAAGAGGTGTGCCTTGTCCAGGGTCACCGAGCTGGTAAGAGGTGGCATCAGGATTGGAACCCAGAGCCTGAGCTATGCTGAGTGGAAGCTGGATGAGGGTGAGCATGTCTGACACTGGACCTCAATAGAATGTTCCCTCCCATGTTCTGTGGGAGGCAGAAGGAACACACCTGTTCCCAGCTCAGAAAGAGCTCAGGGTCTGATGCCACCTGCCGAGGGACTTAGCATGTGAGGATTTGATGTCAGGTGTCCTCTTTCTCATGTTCCCCAGAAAGTCAGGGCCATTTTCTCCACTCCTAACTGGTCATTTGCTTTTGTCATTCCCTGTATCTGTCTGGTGCCCCACCATCAACAGGGACTTTGGTCAACAGTGTCCGACTCCCTAAGGGTCACAGGCTGGAGTTGAGCGATGGTGACCTTCTGACCTTTGGCCCTGAAAGGCCCCCAGGAACCAGCCCCTCGGAGTTCTACTTCATGTTTCAGCAAGTCCGAGTCAAACCTCAAGATTTCGCTGCCATTACCATCCCACGGTCTAGGGCAGAAGAGGGAACCGGGGTTGGTTTCCAGCCCATGCTGCCTCCCCAGGGGGCTCCGCAGCGTCCCCTCAGCACCCTGTCTCCTGCACCAAAAGCCACACTGATCCTCAACTCCATTGGCAGCCTCAGCAAGCTCCAGCCACAGCCCCTCACCTTCTCCAGGAAGGGGGGTGGGCCACCGAGCCTACCTCCCCACACTCCCCATGGGAAAGAGGGGACCACCCCTTCTGCCCCAACCCCAAGAAATCGAAGGAAATCAGCTCACCGAGTGTTGGCAGAATTGGATGATGAAAGAGAGGCTCCTGAGAGCCCCCCAGTCCTTAGAGAGCCCAGGAAGAAACTCTGTGTAGAGAAGACTCCACTGACACCCAGTGGGTAAGTGGCTAGATCACGGTCTTGTTTCCTCCCTACCTTTCGATTCTTTTTTAGATCCTCAGGTTGGGAGGTGGCCCTCGGCTGGGGATGAGGTGGGCAGTGGGCAGACAACAGGTTGAATGGCAAGACTTGGGTTAGCTCTAGCAACCAGGTTCACCACTATTCTGGTGAGTCTATCTGGACCCACTATTTTCATCCAAGGGAAACTTCTAGGCTTCTCCTACAGGTTCTCAATGACCCAGGTTTTTGTTTTTCTTCAGAAATCGACTTGGGCATCCTCCGAAGCACCCCGTGAGCACCCCCATGACGCCTCCTGTGGTTGGGGGCGGGGAGCCCTGTGCAGCCCCTTGTTGCAGCCTGCCCCAGGAAGAAACAGTGGCCTGGGTTCAGTGTGATGGATGTGACCTCTGGTTCCACGTGGCCTGTGTTGGCTGCAGTATCCAGGCTGCCAGGGAGGCTGACTTCCGGTGCCCAGGGTGTCACATGGGCGTCCAGACCTAAGGCCCACCACCAAGGAGCCAGAGGATCGAGCTGGCCATGGGTGGACACAGTGGGACACCAGTGGGTCCTAAGAAATCCCTCTTCTCTTGCCTCCCCAGGAGGGAATGACTACAGGGCAGAGGCCCATTGCTATGGATCCCAGGTCTGGAACAGGCCCTCTCGGCCAAGGTGACAGAAGAGATGGCTTCCTGCCAAAGATAATGCCTTCAGGAAGTTGCTAGTGAGCTGTAAATTCCGTTACAAGTCATAGATCCTTACTGTCACGGACACTAGTGTCTGATCAGAGCATCATCAACTACAGAGACCACCTGTGCCTGAAGATATAAGCCCCAGACCCAAACAAGTGAGTTCTCAACTTGGATGGCACCGCCTAAGGCATTCTGGGAAAACCTAGGGCACAGCCCCCAAACTCTAATCCTTCCGCTGACTATGTTTGTAGCCTGTGGCCTGGCTTTTCAGAGATTTGCTTTCATTTCCAAATAAAGAATGAAAATATTAATTTGCTGCTAGGTAGTTATTCCTTTGTGGGTCTGGAACACCTTGCTTTCCAATTCTTGATAGAATGGACTTGGAAAGGTTTGGAAAACGTGAATTCTTAGGGGAAGGGGAGATGAGTGGAAAAGATAGAAAAATACCTGCTCACTGAAAAAGTGCAAATATATGGGATGAAGTTGGAGCCTGAAAAAAGAAACCCAGGTAATGAAGGGTTCTAGTTTAAAAGAAAACATCCGCTGCCCTTACAGTTAGGTAGCTGGGGTCTGGCAGTTTCATGCAGATGGCAGAACTTGTACCAGCTTCCCCAGTGCAGGCCGACCTCAGATATTGCGGGTCCGGTTCCAGACCACCGCAACAAAGTGAGCCGTCATCTTTTACTGGTGGAGGGTCTTACCTCCGATTTGAAAAAGTACATCTGTGAAGTGCCAACGTGTGCCTGCACTACCAGGGCAGACAACCAGCTAGAGCAGCTGCTGCCTGGGCCTGTGTCAGCTCAGCCCACGTGTGGGGCATTGCCTTATCTTGATACATGTCCACCCTCTTTCCACTCCTACCACAGCTTACCAACCTATTTTTTCTAGAGGAAAGAGTTCCAGAGCAAGGACCCCTATGTGGTAGCGGCAGAGCCAGGACTAAAGCGCGGAGGGTCTGCGGAGTCACTCACGGACAGGACAGGCAAAAGGAAGGGAAGCCTCATGGACCCTGGCACCAAGGAAGCACAAG